GGTCCTAGAAGCTGCCAAAGCTGCCAATTTTGTCTAAACTGTAAATCCCCCATGTGAGCCACATGAAAACTCTGCTATTCTGAACCCTGTTTGCCCTAATTCTGTTCAAACCCTAAACCCTAAACCCTCAATTATAGTTTTTGGTATCTGGAACACCTGTCTTCTCCCCTCTGTCTCCGAATTTTGCCTGTCTCTCCATAAACCTTAAACCCCTTCTGTTGACTGCCTTTCAACCCCCTTTCTCCATTTAAATACAAGGTTAGTTCCCTGCATGGTTGCAACCGCTCCTTGCCCCAGGACCTTTATATTACATTTCTTCCTGATTTCCTCCTCCTGCCCCGGATTTTGCCAAATTTGGGCCCTGACCCTCTTCCATTGCGCACGTAAGTCTGTCTCAAGTAATGTCAAGAATAACTCCCTTGCCTCCTGTATGTGCATTGTACTTCCATCAATAGTAATTTGATATTTCCTCTTCCAAATAGTCCACAAGCTATATTGACGTATCAACTGGAACATAAGCTTCTCGAAAGACTGCCACTGCCTCAGAATTTGGCTCCCCAACAAAAGGGAAATTTTAGTACCTAACCATGGGACTTTCGAAATCTGACCCCAGATACTTCTGGCCTCATCCCAAATGATGACTGCTCCCGTACATTCCAACAGACAATGCTGCATTGATTCTAACACGCCACATTGACACACTCTACACACCACGTTTGCTGGGTCTCTCCTTGTCCGACTCTTTTTCTCATTTAACCATTCATTTACCGGCAGAGCCACATGGGCTATTAGCCACTGCATGCTTCTGACTTTTCCCAAGCGGACCGCATTAATCACAGACCAAGGAAACTTAGACAGTTGTCCCCGTGGAATCCCCACTCTCTTTTCCCACCTCTTCAATAATTGAGGCGTGAGAGAAAAGGATCTTCTTCTCAACCTATATCCGGTCAGAGTAGTGTAATGCAGAATATTATTCCCGCAGTGCCACTTCTGATCTTCCATGCCCATTCCCCAGGGTCAACTTCCAAATCTTCCACCGGAGTAGTTGGACAGAAAACTGTGAATTCGTCTGACTCAACTACTCTTACCTTACGCAATTGACTTTTGAGGATGGTTATAGGCGCTTTGGAATTCTTCTCAAGTAAAGAGGTGGTGCTCCCTTGATGCATGATAGTATATTTGTCTGCCTGAAGCCATTCCGGCCTTGCAGGCTCCTGATCCCATATCCTAAAGACTTCTCCTGGAGCATTGTCATCTTCCCATGTGGCCCAGTCCCCTAGCCCCCACTGTGATCCCTTTCTCAAAAGATCCCCCCACCTTTGTGGAATGGCTCTTAGGACTATTTCTAAATTTTCCGACAGCCTGTGACAACCCCCTAGTTGTCCCCTTAGCTCTTTAGCTGTTTTCCACCTATTTTCGGAGTTTTCCCACAGGTGTTTAACCTGCCAGACCCCATGCTCTAACGACTTACCCCATTTCGTGTCTTTAATTAAGAGGGTCAGTGGTTTCCCCTGCGCATCCCTAATACTTGAGTTACAAAGTAATGACTGTCTCAAAACTTCTTCTCTTGTGTGAGGCTCACTGACCCTTGCCGGAAAATTTCCTTCCAGAGTTTCATTAGTTGACCCCAATATGATGTCTTCCTTACTACCTCCTCATTACCACCCCTGTCATTAACTTCCCTAATCCCTTTCGCCCATGTACTACACATTACCCAGAACTGGCCCGACATATTCGGTGGGGTTCTATACTTAGCCAATTTCCTAATCTGATAGAGCGCTAGGGACGTCCAAGGCAAATTATGCTGAGAGCTAGGGACGTCCAAGGCAAATTATGGTGAGCGATCAATTTAAGTTGGTGATCTGGGTCTAGAATCCCCAGTCCTCCCTGCTGCTTCGATCTGGTAACATGCTTCCACGCCACCTTGGAAATGAAGTGTACAGACATTGCATTCGATGTCCATAAGTAGGTCGCTGCCCTTCTTCTCACCAATGCTAACGTAGTATTTGGCGGGGTCCAAATTGACCTTGCATACCAGATCATAGAAAAGATAGATGCATTTAATATGAGTGCCCTCCCCAATATAGAAGTGTAGACATTCGACCAAGCCGCCAGCTTACCCTGAATCTTGGACATTAGATCTGCTGCCTTGGAGTGATGTGTACCTGCTTCTGTAATTTTCACACCTAGATATCTAATCGGGGCCTGTGGAGACGTCCATTGTAGACCTTCCGGGCATTCCATCGGGAGTTGCCCTTCTTGCCCTTGCTCACCCAACCACCAACCCTCCGTTTTCTACCAGTTTATTTTCATTTTTGACGCCAATTGAAAAGCCTCCATTGCCCTTGTTAGTGCTTGAAATGATGAGTCTGATGCCCTAATGAGCACTGTCAGATCATCAGCAAACAAAAGGGTTGTGGGAAGCTAAACTGAGTGTCCCTGTTGATCCGGTTCCGCCACTAGCCTTTGAATTGAAGGATCCTTTCGCAAGAAGGAAGCAACGACCTCCATTATGAACAGGAAGATCGACGCCGCTAACGGGTCACCTTGCCTAACTGATCTCGACATTCCATAGGTTGCTGACAAATGACCATTAACTTATACTTGGCCCTGCGCATTGTTATATAAAACCCTTATCCATTTCCTAAAATTCGGACCTACCCCCATCTTTTCCATGCATTGCTGCAGAAAGGGTCAGCTGACCTGGTCATAAGCCTTCTCAAAGTCGAAGAACAGTATTGCAACATTCATACGTTTATCTCTTATATACCTCATTGTCTCAGTCAGAGTCATGACATTGTCTAAGATGAACCTTCCCGGTATAAATCCTGTCTGGTCCAATTGAAAACAACTCGCTGTGAGAGGAGTGAGTCTGTTTACTAATGCTTTGGCTACGATCTTCTGCGTGAGTGTTAGCAACGTAATTGGCCTATAATTCCCGAATGTCCGAAGGGATCCCTTTCTTGTATAATAACGTCACTACTCCTGTTGCCGGATCCTGTCCTAATCCTTCGTCCTGCCATGCTTGCTCCAGATAGGCTAGGTATTCTTCTCCTAGGATTGGCCAAAACTCCAACCAGAATTCCCTGGTCAAACCATCCTTTCCCGGGGTCTTGTTTGGAGCCATAAACTTCAAGGCCTACCATAACTCCTCCTGCGTCAAAGGTGCATCCAGACTTACTGCTTGCTGCGGAGAGATCGTAGGTTGCAGATATCTCAAAAACTTCGACCGTGCCTCTTTGACTTGATGCTCTGGGTGGTCAGCCTCCCTTGATGCATAAAGATTACTGTAAAAGTTATGGGCTGCTTGGACAATCTCTTCTGTGTCCAGTGTAAGACCTAAAGGACCCTCCAGTTGATCTATCTGAGCGTTTCTTCCCCTCCTCGTAATTTTCTGAAAGAAGAACTTCGTCATTCTCTCTCCCTCCTCCCATTCCCTAACCCTGGCTCTCATTTGAAGACCTCTCAGTCGCCAACGTTCCCAATCGGCCAACTCCTCCCTTGCCAATTCCAAAGCCCTTTCGTACATTTCTTGACCAGGATACCTTATCATGTTGCGTTCCGCTAGAGAGAGAGAGAGAGAGAGAGAGAGAGAGAGAGAGAGAGAGAGAGAGAGAGAGAGAGAGAGAGAGAGAGAGAGTCTTATGAGGTATTCACAATTTCACATGCTTGAAAACCAAACAGCCTCAACCCCCTGCACTATGCCTTTGGTCGAATCATGAAGGTAGTCTCATATTATGGTGTTTTATGAACTTTTATCTTTCTCTGTTTTTTTTTTAATATTGAACCTCCAATCCTTTTCTTCGACTTTTCTTTATGAGCACTGATTTGGGAAAAGAATTCAACCCTATACTACAAGACCCCATATTGGCTATACATCCTCTTCGTATTTTTGCAGGATTCATTGCCAGTGCTATTGGATTTTGTATCCAGAACTCAACAAAAGAAACACACTAAGCGTGAAATCAAGGAAAGTGGGAAGCTGAAAGATCACTGTGGAAAACGAAAGACAGTGGTTAGTACCATAATGCAACCTCTTGGAAGTGCCTATTGGAAACTGACATGAATCTGGATTGTACCGTCCTGTTTTTTTTTTTTAACTGTAGGAATACTATTGGGAAGTTGGCAGGCTTATCATGAGCTAAGCCAGTTCCCCATTTTTGTGCTGCCGTGTCAGCAGCATGTCCACGGCTGGCCTCCTTAAGTTAGCTGGTCGATTCTAAGAATCTGGTCACAGCTGATTCACAGAACAGTTTTGGGCACTTCTCAATGGATTGGCTGTTATTTGACTGATGCTGAGAAATCAGTCGCAACTTCCTCGCAAGTGATATACAGGACAGTCTTCGGTGGTTCTTCTATGGGGTGGCTTGTCATTTGCTTGTTCTGACGTTGTGAGTGATGTAATACCATGTTGCAGGAAGCGAGAGGCTGAACCGTACGAAGTCAGAGGGGATGATGCTTAAAGAGTCCAGCAACATCAACCGCAGCTTGCTCACTTTTGGCAAGGTTCATGAGACCAGACTATTCTGAAGCTGATCACCTCAAGTTGACTTCTTTGTTGTTGGCACTACGTATAGATACTTCCCTCATGTACTGTACTGGTATGTATGTATGTATGTATGTTTGGTATTTGTGTATGCACTTGTGTACTGGTATGTATGTATGTATGTCTGGTATGTGTGTATGCATGTGTGTATGCATGTGTGTATGCATGTGTGTATGCATGCGTGTATGTATGTATGTATGTATGTATGTATGTATGTATGTATGTATGTATGTTTGCATGTATGTACACATGTATGTATGTATGTTGATATTCTTAGGAGTTTGAGCTCTAAGCATCTCCAAACAGGGGAGACATGAACTGTTAGAATTATGTGCAAGATTCTAACAGTTCAAACTCTTTAAATGTATGCATATCTGTATGCATATCTGTATGCATATACTAAATGCATACATACATATGTGTATAATTAGCTCTGCGCGAAATACATTTGCAATTCTCCTTTTCATTGCTCCTCTTGATAACTACCAATTGTGGGAGAGTATTTACTATTCTGTTCTATAGAATAATTGAATCCATTCTATTCTATCCTAATATTTTTATTCCTCAGTACTCCATTTTATTCAATTCTATTCCATTCTGTTCCATTCTTCTCTTTTAAAAAAATAAAAATTCCGGACCAGTTATCGATTTATGCATGTCATCCTTGCGCAGGGGCCATGCTAATCTTTCTTCTTTCTCTGTATCATTCCAATTTTAACGGATGTCCCTAAGGACGATTCTGTTCCTTTAATTTTTTATTTTTTTTTCCTTCTTTTTTCCTTTTTGGACAGGAATTGCCACTACTGTTTTCACGGCTCTTGGCAGAGGGCTCATACCCTTTCAAAGTTCAAACTGGGTTCCTTCTCCTCGCCACTGTGAGGGTTCTGGCAACTTCCCAACCTTGACCACAAAAAGCGAAAAACTAGGATTACAATCATCTCGGCCACGTTCAGACTTCCAGTATGTTCTGAGACATAATACATGCTTGATGCAATTGTTGTCATTCTAATGACCAGAGTAACTTCATTCTGACAATGGTAATGTTTCTCATCAACCTCTTGGCTCTTTGAATCCTACGATCCCAAGTGTGGTGCTTGACATACTGGAAACATGATTGTGCATGACATGCGTGCAGGTCGTCTCTTGTTTAAGCAATAACAGGAAGAATGGAGATGTCTACGTGCCGTACAGGTTAGGCGGAAAAGAGTGCGACTCAAATGCTCTTACGTAGCAAGTACTCTTGAGTCCTTACGTTGCCTGCAATAGCTTCTTTTTTACTGAGCTATATTCTTCTCTCAAATATACCTCACATTACCTAAGCCCATGCCTACATCTATCTAAGTCTAGTTGAACACTAAACGCGGCATCCACATGTATACACCGAAGCTGGAGTACACTAAGGGTTATGGGCTGAGCCTATGTATACACCGAAGCTGGAGTACACTGAGGGTTATGGGATGAGCCTATCCCCTCACGGTTGAACCTAACCCCTGGAAGGGACTATACCCCTCTAACAACCAACCAGGGGGGGCAAGGTGACTATCTCAGCTGGTGAACCCGCAACGCGCCGCAGGGGGCCGTAGGGATTCGAATGGAAGGTGTGGGGAATCAAACTCACGACCTTGTGAATGCAGCTTTTGTGCTCTATCAACTGAGCTAGACCGCTGGCCGTGCCTGCTATAGCTTATTTCTGGGTTTGACCCGTTTTTGTTTCCCCGTTTTTCAAGGAAAAAATTCTAATTAATGAAGGCTGCAAACCGGTTCCAGTGTCCCTTACAACATTTTAACACACGCAATGCATCTCTGAGTCAAGGTCAAGAGATCCGGAGAAAGCAACATTGATTACTTCCCCTGGTTGACCATTGCTCTACCCCTGTTTTTCCAACTGATACCACATTGAGGGGTTAATGGTCTCTGCCCTTCAGTGATCCACAATCTTTATTCCGAGTTTGGATCGGTTCGGGTGAATTAGCCATGGTTTGACCGTACCAAAAAAAATTGGACCATTTCTCTATTTATGTGTGTCATCCTTGCGCTGCGTCCATGCTAATCTTCTCTGTATCGTTCCATTTTTTTTGGATGTCCTGAAGGGGAGCAGAGCAGGCAGAGTGTGGAGTAGAATACTTACCATGCTCTGCTCCACGCTCTGCATGGCATTTGTCTCATTTTTTTCCAACCCAAATTTTGCCTTGACAGCCATGATCGTAGCAGGTCGTGCAAACAGCACAATTTAATCCTGTCTACCACTGAGCAAAGCTTTGGAACTGACTGCCCCATTGGAGGAGATTCATACAAAGGCTGTATGATTGCTCTTCTTGCCCTTCTGGGTATTAAACCACCAGTACTTGGCCCAGCTATCGATGCCGTGCCTGAAAACGGGCTGCACGCCGTTTCGCGCCGACCCGTTAGTGCAACAAGAAAAAATTGTTTTGGCTGGTGGCGCCAGCCTTTGAGGGCCGGTACCCCGAGCCTCAAGAAGTTGCGGGGCGTTAACGACAACGCCCCGCGGTCGATGTATGGGACAACTACTGGTGGTTTAAGTACAAAAGTTGCCCAGATCACAAAATTGTTTGTGCCGTTCCCATGGATATTTCACAACCCTAATTGAACCCCCATAGCATTTCCTTGTCTCCTGCAGAACCCAGTTGGGACAGTGGTATACCCATGAAGGCATGAACGGTTGAAATGCAGAAATGAGGTCGTCTTTTTTTTCTCTCAAAAGGGGCGTCAAGTTGCCAGATGACGAGGATCTTCTTTTCTGCTTTAAACAAGTCAAATATTATTGTAACCATCAGGACATGGAGCTCGAACCTATTTATGGTGTGTTTAATCAAGGGTTAGATATGGGTAGTTCTGTGTACCATTCAGGCATAACTTTCCCGAGGGGCATGTATACTGACGAGGCTTGTTTCTTCTTTTTTCAATAAAAAAGGGGGTTACCGTAGCCCCTAACTTTGTTGTGTTCATGTGGTTCCACAAGGATTCAGACTCATGTTCTGTTTACAAACAGTCACGTGCATGTACCATTCAGCCACGTGCATTTTCATGCAAAGCACGGAACACTTTTTTTTTGTATTTTTTTTGAGACAAGGCCAGGGTGCAAAGCACGGAACGTGGGTTTCTTCTTCTACTTCACGTGCTTACGCTCTTAGTCAATAGTTCTGTGACAATATATATGCATTTTACCTGTAGCTGAACACCGGTGGGTACGCGGACCAGGCTCCTGATTCTGATTTTTGACTGGTGACTTGCAGGGAAAGCAAGTTGACGAAGCTGTTGATGGACACCGTTGGAGGAAACGGGCTTACACTGCTTATCACTTGTTGTTCACCGTCACCCATGTCAGTAGACGAGACCTTGAGCACACTCCACTATGCCCAGAAGGCAAGGGGAATCACAAACAGTCCAACTGTGAGGGTTCATAGGGAAAGCAAGGTGCTAATTCCAGAAATGACTCGTTGACTTGAAAGTTGAAACCCCCCTAAACCCCCTTATACCTGTTAGCCATGGATAGGCCTTGGCAAAAGGCTTGTCCACACCATGATGCCATTCAATGGAAAGGTTACACGATCCGGCCCCCAAATCTTTATTTGTCTTTTTTTTCCCCCGTAATGTCCATTTGGGCCAGGCTCCATAGTACCACACCCATTCTGGGGAACATCAGTCCGGTCTCTACGAGCCGCGGCGGCAAGTCAGAAAATTTACATTATAATGATGATATACACTTCTGATGGTTCCCCACGTCATGGCCCGGTGTCCCTTGACGGAATTGATTACTTTCTTTAGAGGGATTAACTGTCAATCAAGCCCAAACTTAAGTACCATACCCTTCCCCCCGATCAACACTACCATCTTCACCCAGATAGAACGCCTGGTCATTATCACTGCATCCGGACTGCAAGTTGATCCAAACACAGCTAAAATGACAGGGCGTTCTATTCGGGTGAAGACAGTACCCTAAACAAACATGCCTGAAAAACAATTCCAATAATCCCTAGCAGAGTCTCAGTCGATTGCTATGAACTGTTAGAATCAATTAAAACTAAGGATAACTCAGACCTCTTCTTCTTCTTCTTCTTCTTCTTCTTCTTCTTCTTCTTCTTCTTCTTCTTCTTCTTCTTCTTCACCATTTCTCGATTTATGTGTGTCATCCTTGTGCAGGGGCTTTGCTAATCTTCTCTGTATCGTTCCATTTTGAACGGATGTCCTGAAGGACTTCTTCTTCGTCTTCCTCTTCCCACATAAATGTCGAATTCCGTTGCTCATATGAGAGCATAGTGCTAAGAAAGCCTGGGTTAGGCCGATGCCCGGTCCAGATGGACTGGGGCGGGTCCGTCCGGCAAAACCAGACGAGCCAAAAAACGTCCCATAATTTTTTTAATTTTATTTCTGAAGATGGTGTTGGAGTGCGCTCACTGAGAGGAGCCCGAATCTGCAGAGAAACTTGTGAAAGGCGTGTGTGTTGGGGGGGTGGAAGGGAGGGGGGGGG